GTCCACTCTTGAAAGGAGAAACTAAAGAAAGGTTATTAAATCTGTATAACTGTCTTGAACAAAAACACATGAAAGTTTAATCCCTGATATGGAAAACTATTAAAGATTCATAATTGCAATAAAGCTATCTAAATGAATTTGGATTTTCATTGTTTCGGTGCTGCAGTGTGCCTGGTGCTCCTTATATTAGCAGCAAAATCCACTCCAGTGGATTGCCCCATGGATTAGAGAGACCTGAGAGATGATACTCATTGCACCTGAATGTGTGTTTCTCTTGGTGGTTTAGGCACTTGGCATAATTTTCCCTCCCTGTTATGTTGGCGGTCAGCAATTTTCTGATTGTTGGTTTAAAGCTGACAGAGCTCGAAGGGAACTTGAGATATTTTTGGAGTCTGATGGTTGGGAATATGGTCATTTGTGTCGTTTGCCTTCCCTTGGGCTCCCTCCCTCCCTTCCTTCCCTTTTCTTGGTCTCTGTGGATCAGCTCAGGTGTTGCTGGCTGCCTCTGGCTCTCTTTCTGCAGCTGGTGCACAGAGGTGAGGTTGGCTCCAGGCTGTCTTTCTTTCAAACCAGGGAAGTTTCACATCCCTAGCATATGATTTTGGGAACCGATCTGTGCTCCGCAGTCTGCTGGGGTGGGTGTGAGTATCCTACCCTGACACAGCTGTGCTCTGTACTCTCTCCCCTCCAGCCAGCAGGTACAAAGGGCCACCATCCCCCTGGTCGTGACCTGCCAAGTCTGACCTGTGCCCAGTGCTGTCTCTTGTCCTTCCACAGGGAAAGTCAGAGGAGGGAAAGGCCAGCCAAGAGCAGGTGGCTCTGTTTGCAGCACCTGCTGCTTTGAGCATCTTACTGGAGCCAAACCAAAAGGTGGTGCAGCAGGACCCGGCCTGTGCCAGCACCAGGGCCTTGCAGTGGCTGTTGAAGTGCATCTGTCATGTGCTCCCTCTTCCCTTTGAGCTGCAGGCTTGCATCAGCCCAGCTTGAAGGCGTTGGCTCCCTTCTTGGCTGACCACGGGACTGTGGCTTTCTCTCTTACCTACATCATCTTTTTTGCCTTATTAACTGTGCAGCTGCCCCGTTAACAGCGGTTAAGAAGACGGCAAGCAGAGGGCATCGGCTGACCCATGTGAGGACAAAACTCAGGGGCCCTGACAGTGGTGTTGGTGGGGACTGGGCTCTCCTGTGCTGCCACAGCCCTTGCTATTCACCAGCCCCTCTGTGTGTCACAGAGGAAGGAACTGTCCCCAGAAGAATGAGGCAAATCTGCTCAAGGTCACTGGACGGAGCTGAACGCAGAACTGAGCTCTGCTGCATCCAAGCTGTGTCTGGTGCTTTGCTCCAGCTCCTTTTCTCCTATTGATGCCACCCAGAGCATCCTTCCAGCCTCACCGAGCACCCTCTGTCCTTTCATCAGAGGGAAGGGTAAGCAGGAGCCCTTCTCTGGCTTCTCATTATTGCCCGCATTATTTTGTATAGCTCCATCAAGCTCCCCACACATTATCTCTTCTCTAAATTTGACAGGCTTAATCTTTTCGATCTGTCCTTTCACAGGCACCTTCATCTGCCGCTAATTATTTCTGTTTCCCTTCTCTAGAACTTTTCTCTCTGTGTCTCCTTGCTGGGCAGGCAGAGATGTACCCAGGGAATGCACTCACAGCAATGTCACGCGTTCACTTGGATATTGCCATTACACTAGTTTGAGCAATTCTTGATATGTTTCTTACCACGGTTTCCCATCACATGTTTTTGTTGCAGGCTTACTTGATCATTCTCAAATCACAGCTGCACACTGAGCAAAGTGGTCCATGAGCTGTTGGTTATAGTCTTTCGTCTATGTCTGCTCTGTTCATTCAAGAGTCATCAGTCACATCTTGGACAGTTGCAAAGTCCTGCCTGGTTCTTCAAAGCACCTTTACCAGCCCCTTCTGACACCTCTAGTCTGAACTAACCCAAATAGTCGAGTGTTGCTGGTAGATCTTATAGAATCATAGAATCATTTCGGTTGGAAAAGACTTTTAAGATAGAGTCTAACCGTTAACCTAGCACTGCCAAGTCCACCACTAATCCATGTCTCTAAGCGCCACAACTACACGTCTTTTAAATACCTCCAGGGATGGCGACTCAACCACTTCCCTGGGCAGCCTGTTCCAGTGCTTGACAACCCTTTCAGTGAAGAAACCTTTCCTAATATCCAATCTAAATCTTGACTCTCTCCTGGGCTCACTCTCACACTGCTGCTGCAGGCATCTTAGGATTTTCTTCCCCACCTTCGGGATGTTCAGTAACCCTCAGGTTCTTCCATTCCTTTGCATCTTTTTATTGCTTCTCAGGGAGATCCTGCGCCATCTCTCCCTCTGCATCTATTTTTGCAAGGCCAGAGGAGCACAAAGGTCTCCATGCATGACCCTCCATGGCCCTGCAGTGGGCAGGGAGGGAAGCTGCCGTGCCGCCTTGGCACGCAGAAACTCTGCCTCTGCAATCCCTTAAATAGCCTGAGCAAATACCTGTTTGTGCAAATGCCATACAGTGCATTTGGGGGATTTCTTCTGCCCTCCCCTGGAAAGCAGGCTGGAGTGAGTGAAATGCTCCTGGAGCTTTGTGCTGCTCTGAGGCCATGCCACTTCTCAGCTGTCATGGTGGCCAGCCACCAGTCCAAGACAGTCCTGGGGCTTCCTGCCACCCCACAGCAGCTGCCTGATCCTGTAACCATGTGGGGAGTCGGATGGGAGAGCTGAACCAGCTGAAAGCCAGCCCTGCAAGAAGCAGCCATGAATTTCAGTCAGATCCATTAACTGAGTGTTGTGGTTTAACCTCAGCTGGCAACTGAGTGCCACACAGCCGCTCGCTCGCTGCCCCCCAGCCCCGGTGGGATGGGGGAGAGACTTGGAAGAGTAAAAGTGAGAAAACTCATGGGTTGAGATAAGAACAGTTTAATAATTGAAATAAAATAAAGGAAAACAGTAATAATAATAATAATAATAATAAAAGAATATACAAAGCATCAGTTTCAGACAGCCCGAGGTGGGTCAGTGGCTCATGAGATAAGCACAGAGCCAGGGTCCTGCTGCCCCTATCACCTGTGACAGAGCCCTGCGAAGTCATGTTCACTCCTGCCACCCAGGGGCTCTCCACCAGCTTGCTTTTTTCCTTCTCTCTACTTGATTTCTCATAAAGATCACCTCTCAGGTGGTCTGAACAGTGTCCATCACAACACAGACCTCAAGACAGCCAGGGGTGTGATCAGGGGTCTCTTCTGGACCAAGCAGCAGGATTTCTCTCTGTCTTTTCTTCCCCATTCTTGTGCTCTCTCTGCCGAGGACGTCCTCATGGGGATGCCTGGAGAAGCCACAGCTGAGTTTTATCAGCACTGTGTCTGACACTGCAGCATGGCCACTCTGCCCTCGGTTCCCACCAGCCCTTCACTGGATGCACTAGTGGAAGGGAAACATTGTCCCAGGAAGAGAAAGTGAGAGCAGTGGATGCCTTGACAGGCGTCCTGTTAGCCCTGAAGCCTCAGTGGTTGTTGGACCGACCATCTGAATGCCACAGGCTACCAGAAATCGAGTGGGAGTGTGTGTGGGAGTGTGCAGGTTGCCCATATGTGTGTCAGTCCTACTGCTACAGCCGCCTTCTATCTCAACTGGCAATGCTGTGTCTGGAGAGTAGCTGATGCAAGCCCTGGCCCTATGCTCTTGTGAACTTAAGCATGGCTGTAGCATAAAACAGAGGTGATGTCCAAGTGCAGGGGCTGTACTGCGATTTCTGGATCAGCTGCTGCCTCCTCGGACCAGCAGCTGGCTTCCCCTCCCTGCCGGAGCAGTCGCTGGATCACTCGTGCTTTACGCTCAGCTGAGCTTTGCTGGTGGTAGTCCCGATGTCCGCTATTTCACCCCAGCAAAGTTCAGGGTAGCACTAGTGGAAGCTTGGGTGACAGCAGGGTCACAGCCCACCACATAGACTTGGCAGTGGTTAATCATGGCTTCTTACTGGAGTAAATGATTTTAAGAATCTGGAGAATTAATCCTGGTCCTCTGAGGCTTCCTTGATGCAGCGGCAGAATGAGAAGGACTGAGCTGAAAGGATCATATCAATTCTCCATTTTATTTTTTTAGCCTTAGAAATTCTTCTCGCTCCCTCTTTTCTCCTCTCCTCCTCCAAGATGGAGGCGAGTTATTTAAAGGGATGTCTCATTCTGCTTGCAGAAAATAAGACTGTGTTTTGACAGAGCTGAACAGAAGCCTATGGTTAAGCAAAGATATGAAAGAGCAGTTTCAAAGAGGTGGCTTATCAGAAACAGGGTGAATTGTGATATGGGAGTGAGGAGGAGTGGCACTGAATGCCTTAGAAGCAAAGAGAGGGGGGAGCTGGGATGAAGGGAGAAATACCAGATGAGTGCTGTGTCTTGAACATGGCCAGGCTGTCAGGGAAGCTCCTGATTACAGCAAAGGCCCTGGCCACAAAATGAAAGCTCTCGGGAGCAGCTGGGGAGGAAATAGGAGGAGAGGAGAGATGAAATACAGCTGTCTCAGATCCTACAGTTTACAGAGCGTTGGAAACCGTGGTGAGACACTTGAGTTGAACCCTCCCTGCTGCACACAGAGATCTGAGGTTTGAGGCTTCCGCAGACGGTTCCTGGCCTCCCAGATCAGTAGGAGGGATTGGGGCTGGAGGTCTTGATATTCTTTGCAGGTTGTTTCTAACCAAGCGGGTCTGCAAATCTAGTTAATCGAGGGGACTGGACAGATTGGTCTGACTTGGGATCCTAAACAGGCTCCTCCAGGCTTCACATCCTGGTCCATTGCTGGCTGTTGGCTTGATTGATCTCCAGCCACCGCCACTTGGCCCCTCTCCCTCGTCTTTCTTGGTGCCTCCAATTGCTGTGGTCCTAGTCTGGTGGTGGGGTAGACTGAGTAGCTCCTCCCTAGTGGGAGAAGGCGGCATATTCCTAACAGGAAAGCCCCCAGGCCTGCCAGGCTCACCCCATCCTGACTCCGCAGGTAGGAGACCAGATCCTGGAGGTGAATGGCAGGAGCTTCCTCAGCATCCCCCACGACGAGGCAGTGAAGCTGCTCAAGTCTTCCCGCCACCTCATCATGACAGTGAAAGACATCGGGAGGCTGCCCCACGCCTGCACCACTGTGGACGAGACCAGGTGGATAGCAAGCTCCCAGATCGGAGAGACCCTCGTCAACTCAGCAGGGTATGTGCTTGGTACACCCCATGCAAGCGTGCTGTGTAGGGCTGCCAACCCAGAGCTCCCGCAGGGTACGTACAGTCACCCAGGATGGGTGTGGAGCGGCAGCGTGTGAAATGGTGGCAGCCTGATGCACTGCGATGTGCATCGGCAACCTGTCTATGGGAGCACCCCCGGCGCTTAGGTGTGTGGCCCCCATACCTGGTGCGCTTAGAAGACAGCATCTCTGTCTTAGAAGACAACATGCTGCTGCCCCTTCCCTGTTCTCTCAGGCCAGAAGCTTTTAGCTTACAGGCAGAGAGAGGAGAGTACATAACAGATCTCATGCCAGGCCTCAGGTGATGAGTGATGGGCACATGGTGCTTAGTGCTAACTGATCTTCTCCCTCCTTGCAGGGCAGTGGGCAATCATGCTGCGGAGGCGACAGCCAGGGTAAGAAATATCAGGCATTCCTGATGCCTTGTGAAAAAATCACCATCGTTGTCTCCTGTTTTCCATGGGAGGGGGGGCTTTGTGCTCCTGATTATAAAAGGGACGTTAGTTTTATGAGGACTGGTGGGTTTTAACTGGCTCTAGCCTTTCTCCTGCCCATCTCGCTTTGCCAGCTGTGTTTCTACAAATAGTGCTGCTGGTGGGTCAGTTCTGCAGCACATCTGGTGCCTCCTAGCCTGGGAACGATCACGTCAATGGGCAAGGGGCAGTGATCACACACGGACAAGGACCATGGGGACCCCCTCCACCCTGCAGAGGTGACCGTGAGGCCTTCCACATGGTGGCTGTCTCTGGGCCCTGACAGCTCCTGGGATCTTTCCCACCCTGAAGCAGAGCTGAGCCAGCCCTCTCCAGCACACCAGTCGGTGGCAGGGCTGCAGCAGCGGCAGGGCCTTACCCAGTGCTGTGACTGCATCTTCTCCAAACACCTCTTCGCAAAGCACATTTCTTTTAAATGGAAATGAAGCAGCAAGGTTTCACAGGTGGCTCTCACTGATAACAGCTTTGTGCTGTTTGCTGGCAAAACGTGCTCCCCAGCCTCAATGCCTTTCAGCGTTCCCTGGGATAGTCGGGGTCTTGTCTGGCTCCATATCCCTACGCTGACTGTGCCAACACTGCCAGGGAGGGGAACAGCAAGGACCTCCTCTCAGAAATCCCTCTCAAAGAAAAAAGCCTTTCATCTGCAGCCAGATACGTCTCTCCCTGGGACTCCTTTGGTTGCCAGTGGCTCTTTCTTCACCAGGGTCTGCTTCGAGCTTGCAGCGGGGGCAGATATGCCTTTCACACAAGATGGGAAGCTTGCCTCTCTCTCGTAGCCCCAATCCCCCCAGCTCTGCCAGGAAGGAATACAGCCTGCTATTAAATCAACAGCTGGTCAAGGGACAGCGTCCGTGCTTGCTGAACAGAGCTGGGAAGCTGGTTTGTTTATTCAACTGGTGTTGCATAAACTCATGGCTCTGGAGTTACTCAGACAAGTAGTTGACACTGAGTAGCCATGCTGGTGAATCCTTGGGGGTACCTGCCTCCAGCCATTCTTGGCATCCCCCTTCCAGTCCCGCTTTCCAGCTTTGCCACAGGTAGTTGGGTGAGAGCACTGGTCTGAAACGCAGGCAGCTTGGGCTGGCAGGCAGAGCCCAGAGCAAGGGGGCAGTTCTCGGTCCTGCCTATGCTGCCCAGCTGTCTCAGCAGAGGGACAGCTGCCCTCCTTTCAGCAGCTGATTCCTTGGCATGCCAGGCCAAAGCCTATCTCCTTTCTTCTTCTGCAGCCTGTGTTTTACCGGGGCCTGGCTGGCTCCCAGGTAATGCTGAGCAGCATGGTGAACCAGACCCGAGTCATGCTGGAAGAACAGGCACGGCACCTGCTGAATGAACAGGAGCGGGCGACCATGGGGTACTACCTTGATGAGTATAAGGAAGGCAACATCTCCGTGGATGCTCTGGTCATGGCGCTCTTCGAGCTTCTCAACACACATGCTAAGGTGAGGCCCACACCAAGGTCAGGGACAGTTTCTTCTACCCCGTGGACTGAGCGGAGCCATTGTCACAGTGTGGCTCAGTGCTTCCAAGGTTATCTGCTCAGGATCAGGGGTGAGGGTATGAAAGCAAAATCTAGATATAGGACATTATGAGGGATACAGGCTGGTGTTCAGTGGCAGAGGAGCTTCTGGTAAAGTTTAGGACCAAACCTCCTCGTGCGTTACCTGCCAGTACATCTCATTACCACTGTTGAACAGTGTGGGAGGATGGGTCTTCACCTACCCAGGAATATGGTCATGCTCCAACCTCTCTTTGGTTGTCTGTCTGCCTGGCCCAGTTCTCACTGCTTTCAGAGGTGCGGGGTGTGATCTCCCCGCAAGACCTCGACCGCTTTGACAACCTGGTGCTGAAGAGAGAGATTGAGTCCATGAAGGCTCGACAGCCCCTGGGGCCCAGCATTGGCACCGACTCCTACTCTATGATGTCCTACAGCGACACCGTCTCTTCCTCCAGCAGCCACTTCACTGCCACAACTGTCAGCTCAGCCCGGGTAAGTCCCTCCTGGCTGTTCCTTTTTCTTTCAACACCTGCTCCTGGCAGCCCTATGAAAAACTCACTTCCCTGGACTTCCCTGGAGTGCTATAAAGGCATTTCACCCCACAGGAAACCCTGTTCAGTCTGCTTCCCCGGTGGATTCCCCCAAAGCTCTTTTTTTCTTCCTTGTGGACTGGGTGCAACAACATGATTTGTAGGTGCAATAAGGTGATGCTGTGACACGTGCTTGGTATCTCTGTGCCCCTGAGACTGAGATGCCGCTATCGTCTGCATGGGGGCTGAGCCTGCTGCTAAGTGTCACTTTGTCCCCAGCGAGGGAGGAGGTCTGCTTCCCTTCCAGGACCTCCGCTGTGCAATGCAAGCTGCATACACACAGAAGTTTCAGCGACTTGTCGCTGCCACACCATGCCTGCCGCTATTCACCAGTTCTGGCTGTCGCTTTTAAATCACCTCCTTAAAGACGCTGACTGTCCGCTCCCCATCCCAGCAGGGACCGCAGCGGCCAGGCCAGCTGCATCCTGTCCCGGCCCCTGCCCACTCTCCAGCATTAAGCAGCAGCGCTCCCACGTCTCTCTGCCAGGCCTTCATTGCACGCACTGTCTAATTAAGTTATCGTAATCACCTCAGAGCGTGCAGGCACACAGCCCCGAAATTAATTTCCTAGCCATAAAATGCCTTTCATCTTAAATGCATTAGCAACCTTGGAAATTAAAACCTTCATGAAAAGAACGGATGACAATGGGCTTTCTGCTAGTTCAACAGCAAGCAAACCAGCCCACGGCCGGGGCGAGTGGGATTGTGCTGTGGAGGGTGCAGGCAACACAGCCGGCAGGGGAGAGAGGCAGGGGGGGCTTTCCTGGGGCTGTGCCTGCTTATGCAGTTTGGTCCTGCTTATGCAGTTTGGTCCAGCCTCCCAAGAGGCCTCGGAGAGTTTCAGCGCATCAGAGCTGTGCTTTTGTCCCCTTGACTTCACAAATACCTGTAGGAAAGCCGTCTGCTCTGTTCAGGAGGGATTACAGTGAGATCCTTTCTGGATCAGGATAAACAAAGCGAGTTTTGTGCTGCTCTCCGAGGGCCTGCTGGGAAAATCTTTCTGAAGTATCAGAGGGCTAACACAGGTCTGCCAGGACTTGTGCGCTGTGCATGACACTCTGTTCCCATGCTATCCCCGTGCCTGGGGCTGTACCACTTGCCTTGGGCGTGCCGTGCTCTCCCTCCTGCTCTGTGACACCACGTGCCAAGCGTGGCTGCTTGGCCTGGTGCGTGAGCGATGGCCCAGCCCCACCTGGCACACGGGCCTGGAGGTCGGTGAGGGAGACTGGGGTGCTGTTCTGGCATAGAGAAGAGAGCGGGCACCGTCTGGTGGGCCTTGTTTTAAGAGCTCCCTTCAAGAACCTGTGTCCCTCGGTCACACTGCAGGTCCTCCCTGGCAGTGTGGCACCTCTTTCCATGGGTGTGAGAACATAGACCCCTCTGTGCTCTGCCTCGGGTGGTGGGAACACTGACACTTGAGATGTTTACCACCACTGCTTGCTAAAATAGCTGCCAAGCAAAGAACACCAGCTCATGGTGGATGGGTGCTTATCTCAGCTAGCAGGAGAGAGAGAAGAGCGGCAGAGCTCCCAAACTGTTTCCTCTGCCCTGCTCTACCCTAAGCCCCTGCTGCTGTTGCCCTCCCCCGCACCTCTCGCAGGAGGGGCTCATTTCAGCCTTCACATTCAGCGCTGGATGTGGATTCTGCAGGGTGGGTTTTGGGGGAGGAGGGATGCATCGTGCCGGGATTTGCTTGTCTCACTCATTTGTTCTGCATCCTCCCTGACGTTATGTTTTCGCTTTTATGCTTGTTTTAATCTGCTTTTCCCCTCGCACGTCCCCAGGAGCGGCTCTTGTGGCTAATAGACCTGATGGAGGTAGGGGCTGTCAGCGAGACGGGGAGTTCGAGTACCGTGGTTGCCATAGTCGACGGGTTGAGAGTGCGTGCGAATGTGCATCGGGTGGGAGGCGGGGTACAGGCTGTCCAGGGGCCAGCATGCGACTCAGCCACGTGAACAGCCGCCTCGTTTCACCCCTCTGCCTTTTCTTCCTGTGGCTCTGCTGAGCCATTCCAGAGTCCCTTTCCCCAGCTCGGCAGCATGGCTGCAGGCCTTGGTGCTGCAGTGCAGACAGGTCTCAGCCTTGAACCAAACCCAGCTGGTACCACTGTCCTGCTTGCACTAAAGCCCTGAGTGCCACTGACAGCTCAGGGCTGGGGTTTTAGAAGGACCGGCAGCGTTGATGCCTGATGGACCCCAGACTGCCCTTCTTGCCTTGCTGCCTGCTCTACCTGCTGCTGTGCTGTCTTGCTGTATGGGCACCCTGGCTAAATACCAGTAGGCTGGTCGCATTCCATCACGCATCCTCAGGGATGGGGGAGAATTTTCCTTATGGGCCTTGGGTCTGCAAAAATCTGTGCTCCAGTGCAGGAGGGGTCAGTGTACTCACATTGTGCATGTTCAGCCGTGGAGAAATCCTCACACAGACTTCAGAGAGGCTAGACATGGATGTGGGGAGAGCCTCGGAAATCCCTCTGTCACAACAGAGCTCTTGGTTGGGAGGAGGCTGAGAAGAGCTGCAGGCTTGTGCCCTGCAGCGCAGCTCCGTGATGCGGAGTGCATTCCCTCCTTCTCTGGGAGGAAATCACAGGGGTCAGCGGGTTGAGCACACACAGCGAGTGGTGGAGCTGAGAGCTACTAGTACTGCATTGGGAGAGGAGACCTCTGGTAGCTGTGAACCTAGCCAAAAAGCCACACCCCTCCGGGAATGGTACTTGTCTAGAAGAGCACAGCTGTAGTGTTCCCAGATTGAGTCTGTTGCAGGCACCCTGAACCGTGGGACACAGATTTCTTTGGCTTCATGACCAAAGGCAGTGACACTAGTCCAGACCCCCTGTCCCATCAGCTCTCCATGGGTTGGTGGGTGAACTTACACCAAAAATAGCCAGTTTGAGGCTGATCAGGACCTGCCATGCGAAAAGTGATTGTGTTATGGGATGCTTGAAGGATACTCGGAAATGAGACAAAGCCATGTTTGATGGTGCCGCTCACGGATGATGTGTGTCTGCCTACCTAAGTGTCACCATCACCTCTTGTAAATCTTGGATCTCAAGATGAATCCTGCAAAGCAGAGGTTAATTGTAGACTGCAATAATCAGGTGCAACTTGTCTGATCAGAGCAGTATGAATTTCTAACTGCTTACAAGCACGGCAGTCTAGCATGTCCTTTGTCCCTGCCTCCTGCCCCAGCCCTCATTGTTAGGATTAAGGAATTGAAATCGCTGTTGATTTCATTTTTCTTCTCCGCTGCCTCCTAGCAAAGACACTGCCATCCAAAGGTGCCTTCTCCTCCCAGGGCCTGATTCCACAGGCGCTGACTTGCTCCCAGCTCCCTGAAGCTGCAGGATTGGGTCCAGTGCAGTAACCCAGTTGAGTTGCTAGCCCCTGTCTGTCTTTGGTCTCCGTTTCACAAGAAGTATAAGTAAGGAGAGGACGGCACTGAGCTGTTCCTCTTTCTGGAAAGTGAATCTCAAGCACAAGAGCCCACAGCCTCTTTGGCAGCTGGCAGATGATCTCTCTGTCCCCAGAGGGAGAGCAGAACGAGAGCAGAGAAACGGGGGACATCTTCCTCACCTATGTCCACCGTCACAAAGCTGCTCCAGCTCCCAGCTGTCCTCTGACCCCCTCCAGGACAGACACAGACATCCCATGTGGAGGGTTCCCGTGTGCTTGGCACGATCCTCTCGGGCAGTGAGGATGGAGACAGGGTGAAGCCACCGCGTGGGTGTCACTGTGTCACCCTCAGAGCCCTGGAAGTCAGAGAGGTCTGTGCTCAGGCTGGGGCAGAGCCAGGGGCTCTGGGGCTCCTCCAGCCCTGTGGATGCATTCTGGGGTGGGAGAAGGAAGGGGAGAGAGGAGGAAAGCTGGGCTTATTCTCAGACTGGTGCAGTTGTTCAAAATTTAAACCCTGCGGGAGTCAGGCTGAGTAGCTCTGCAAAGCTCTTGTTAGCAGTAACTGGAAAATCAGGGACTCATTTGGAGCTGTGAGGTTAATTAAAGGTTGGGTTGTATTCCCCAGGGAGGTGGCAGTTTCTCCACCACTTAATCTGTGACTGGAAACTGGCTGCCTGTCTGAAAGATGCTCTCCAGCTCCATTGCTCCTGCTGTGGACTCTGCACAAGATAGGAAAGGACAAAAATCTCCCAGCTGCACCTTGCAGAGGGGCTGGAAGGGCCTCGCCTGGCCTCCAATTTCTATAAGTAACTAGAAAATAGATGGGGTAAAGGAGCAGAGAGTCGGTAGGAGGGAGCAGCCTCCTCAATAAATACTCATTTTTCAGAGCAGTGGCACGTGGCTTCGATGGGTCTTTCAAGGGAAATCCAGGAAAGCACAGTCTTAAAATAGCCAATTCCTGAAAGCAAATGTGCTCAGCTTAAAAGCCATTACATTTTATAGCCCAGAGCAATTTCTATTTAACAGCTTTTGCCCCCAGAGTACTAAGCTTGGGGAAGGGCAAATCTCCTTGCACACTTCAGCAGAAAAAAGTGCCCTGAAGACGCTGAGCAGTATTAGTGTCCCCGTCTGTTCAGGGCGAGCAGAGCCGGGACAGTGGGATTAGGGCCGTCGTGCTGGGCTGGCAGGGAGGGTGCTGGGTGCAGCTGGCTGTGCCCACCCTCCGTTTACCAGGAGGATTCAAGTCTCGGTGCAGACTGGTCTTAGCTGTGAGGCCGGGGCTGGGACAGGGCACGTGGTGCGCTATGGGATGGGCTTGATGTCGCGGTGGTGGGCACAGAGTTCAGTGGCAGGACTGGGGGAGATGGCACTGGCAGATTTTAGGGGGCCGTCGGGCAGACTCTTCTCTTTTTAGTAGCGATGTAACTATGACTATTTGACAGCAGGCTGCTCCCAGTCATACCGCAGGGGTCTGGTCCTCACACATTTGCCAAGAGCTCAGTGAACTCTTAGAGACGGGTTTGAAGCTGGCAGAGGCATGGCTGGAGAGGGAAGAGTTAGGGACACAGCTGAGATCCTCCCAAACATGGCCAGGCTGGTGCTGAAATGCCACCATCTCTGCCTTGGCTCCTTTCCTTGTGCACGCAGCCATTTGGCTGGATTAAAGGCTCTGGGCAGCATCTGGAGGTGGGCTGGTGCGGGGGGAGGGTGGTACTTGGGCAGCTTTCTGCAGAACAGCTTTCTCGTTAGAGGAAACGATGGCAAAAGGAGGGAGCTCTGCAGCAAGCACACTGGTGCAGTTTGGTGCAGTTTATTCAGCGCTGCGTTTTGTCTGGCCAAGCATCTCTGCTCCTTGACGTCACGCAGGGACGTGATGGCACTTGAGCTTTTGAAACTCATTGGCACTTCAGTCAAATCTGAAGTCCTGTTGCTAATGCGTGCACAGCCCAGAGCAGTTCGTGATCATTTTAATTAATATGAAGGCAGGTCGCTTTTGAGATAGCTGTACCTACCTCTTCCTCCATCCTCAGACGCATGGTATCGCCCCGTCCTTCGTGCCAGCGCTTGGATTTGCACAGTCTTGTGGCGCGTCAGGTCTGGCTGAAGCCTGATCTTTCTGTTGCTGCTGCCATGCGTTTTCAGCCAAATCTGTCTTCTGCCCTGGCTTGGCCGCACGGTCAGTAACCCAAGAAGGGGTAGAAGATGTTTCTCTTTCAAAAACCACCTGCCTTTACGTTGGATTAATTGATGATGAAATCAACCTTCATCAGAGGAAGGAGTGGTTTCCCAAGCGAATACTTTCCCTGTCACTCTCTGAACAAGCCATTTCTTTTAGTTCTCATTCTCCAGTGTTCCTTCTGAAGCCACAGAGATAAAAGCACTTTCCATCAATGTTTTTGCTGCTTCTCTAATGCTCTTAATTGTCTCCCGTGTCTATTTTGGGATGCTAACATCTTACAGGCACAGCAGCAGCCTCCAGCAGATGGGGGCAATGCAGATGCACCAGCATTTCAACTAATCAGTTGTTTACCCTGCAATAAATAACACACAGTTAAACACAAACTGCACCCTGCCCATTCCAGCACAAATGAACAAACATCCCTGTGAACGTGACAGAAACGAAGTACACCCTGTCTGAGCAGCAGCAGCACCTCTCCAGATCAGGAGTTACTGTGGGAGGGTGGTGCCAAGTCTTGGTTTGCTCTTACAGGGCCTTGCAGGGGAACCAGGCGGGGCTGGGGCTGTGCACCACCGGCAGAGCATCCCCCAGGAGAGTACCTGGTGCCTGCCTGGAGCAAAGCCAGCAGCAGAGCCATGGCTCTGGGCTAGACTCAGGACCAGCTGGCTTCAGGCCCGTCCAGTGCCAGGCATGGCTTGCCAGGGCAGAGCTGCGCACCCAGCCTCTGCTGCATGCCCCCAGTTCTGCCATCCCTGCTGTTACTTAGCCAGGGTGCCTGTTTGCTCTGCTTGACTGTATCTACGTCCTCTCCTTGGGTCCATCCTGACTGACAGCTGCCCCTGCGCAGACAGACTGACGGATTCCCGAAGCCCTGCTTGATTTCTGGGGCTGTGATGTGTTCAGAGCTGAGTTGTGACATTTTTCTAATGACATTTTGACTCATAAAGGGAAGGCAGTGGCAGCAGCTTCTATTTGCGTCTGAGACCAACTGCTCTGGTTTGCAAGGGAGGGAAGTTTTAAACTTTTTCATTGCCCTTCTCCCGGGAAAGATCCTGGTATTGAACCTGTGGCCCTCAGAGCTGGTTCCTCCCCTCCCTCCAAATTAAACACGAGGAGCTGAGATTTGAGTTTTCCTCTGCTACAGAGGAAATTGCCCTGGTAGGTCAGGTTCACAGCATGCTTTGAGCACGCTTCTTAGCTTGGGAGAGTCGGTTTCCCAACCAAGTTGCTTTGCTCGCATGTGTGAGTCTCTAGGGAACCTCCCAGGAAACCAAAACCTTTGGGTGAAAGACTGGCCTTGCGTGGCGGGGGGTTGGGCAATGCCCTGCATCGCTCTGCATGTTCCCTATCATGTTGGCACTGTGGTGATTGCTCCTTGCTGCTGTGACCTGTTTTTCTCTTCCTTCTTTGCTCTATCAGAACACGTCAGAATTGGAGGGAGGTGGAGGTGGCCACCAAAGTAGCATCAACACCCTGCCAGACATCTCCTTGGTAAGACACTGCACCGTGCTGCTACGCCTTGGATGGGAGCTGGAGGCAAATTGATGATACCGAGTTTTGCCTCAGCTTCTGTAGCTCTTCGCTACATCACCTGCCCATGGATGTCACTGCAGTCACTGAAGCAAATTAATCAGACCGGTTAGGAAGAAGGATTCTGGCTGTCTGAATAAGAGTAGCGTCTGTGCGAACCAAAGCAAAAGTTGGGTAGTTTGTCCTCTAATCGTCCTCATTTGTGAGTCGTGTTCTTAATGCCAGTAAGGTCAGAAAGGCATTTCTATGAAAATCAGCTCGCTTTGCCATGGTCACTGTGAGAAGGCAGATGCAGGTGACGCTGGGCCTGGGGAAGTTCTCACAGCTGAGCATGGTGTCCTAAAGGCTTCTGTTCTTGGTTTGGCAGGATGATCTCTCCTCCTTCCCAGATGAACCACCCAACTTCAAGCCTCCACCTCCTCCTTCAGCCCCTCAGATGCTGGACTCCTCTGCTGCCCAGCACAGGAACCCAGGGAAGGACAAGCCCAAGCGCCCTTCCTCCGAGTCCTCTCAGTCAGGCCTCTTCTTTGTGGCTCCCCGAAACCCCACGCCCTCTCCTAGCCACCCCGAGAAGGACACAGTCAGCATGACCTCCACTGCTACCACGTCCACCGAGGAGTCTGCCCCGAGCGCTATCTATGCTACCATTTCCCCAGCCCTGCACAGCTCCAGGAGGCAAATGGATGCCCAGCTCTCCTTGGTCAGCCAGCACCCCATCGGTCCCTTCCCAAGGGTCCAGTCCCCGACAAGGCTGAAGAGCCCACCCCCGGAGGGTCCCGCAGCCGGTGGGCTTCAAAGCCCCCCTTCCCTGTCCCCTCCTCCTCCCCCACCCCACCCGGCACCCCCTCCACCGGACAAGGGCAGCCCGCAGGCCGTGGCCAACCAGCATTTCATCATGGTGGAGGTGCACCAACCCAACAGCGAGCCCGACGTCAATGAAGTGAGGCCCTTGCCCCAGGCCAGAGGTGGGTGTCACGTTATCAGCCGTGGGGTGAAAAAACCCTCTCTGGGGTGTTCCTCGAGAGAAGCAGGAGAAGAGATAGATCTCAAGGGCAGGAACTGGACGAGTTGGAAGAGGGAGACCTGCATCAGGCTGCAGGTCCCTGCCTGAGCGGCAGGCTTGGTTGCAGGGCTTCCCCCTTCCTGGCGGGGATGTGGGCTGGCAGCGCCTGCCAGGGAGGGGCCGCAAGGGCAAACGCCGTGATTTCGGTTCAAACTCCAGGTCAACAGGGTAGGGTAAAAGCCACAGAGCCTGGATCGGTGTGGCAACGTTTGGTAGCCGTGTGTTGGTTTGCCTTTTTCCCCGAGATGAATTTTCAATTGCAGAAAACAGCTTGACAGCATCACGGCAAAAAAAAAGTGAAAATCCAGGAAAATGCATAAAGCCCTCCACAGCGTTATCAGCAGTAGTGGTGTTAATCTCTGAGACAAAGCCCTCAGCCCTGGGTTTTGGCAACGCCGGAAAACCTGCGAGGCCCAGGGCCAGGGCAGCCAGCTCCCCGTTGGCATTCAGCACGCTCTTCAAAGCCTCCCTGGGCTTCCAGCGCAATTCAGGCTGACCTTTACTTAAAGACCAAGCTCTGTTAGGCAGTTGATTACAACTTCTCTCTTGTGTGGGCTTTGCTGCGTTAGCTCGTAAAACCTGCTTCCAGTGGAGTTTCAAAAGAAAAAAAGAAGCAATTCTGGGATTTTCCCATTAACTCCAGATTTTGGAAAAAAAAAGTCTAATTATGCCTACACTGAGCTTGGGAGTCGGATTTATCCTGAGCATATCCTGGGAAAAAGAAGTGGAAGCGAGGGAGGAGCGTGCCGGGCTCCGCAGGTCCCTCGGCAAATGGCTCTGGTCCAGCGGGGGTGGGAGGGGTGGTCCTGGAGCCCTGAGGGTGCCCAGGAGGGTGGGCTCTGCTTTCGGCTGAGACCCGTTGGGGCTGGGGGTACCCACAGCATCCCCGAGCCCCTGTGAGCCCCCCTCGAAATGCCCTGTTCGCGTCCAGGCTCCGTGGGACCCGATGCGAGTGGCATTGTCGCCCTCCTGTGGCACCGTCCTTCCACTGCGATTAGTTCATTAATCGCAGGGTAATGGGTGAGGGGCGGGAGTGCCTGCCTCTGACACTGGATGGGGGCCGGATCCTGCCCGAGGGGTGTCGGCGGTGTGACCCCAACTCCTCCAAGTCCCAGAGCCGATTTCCCGGACCTTCAGCCCTCTCTGCAGGTGCTGTCGTACCGTTGTTCCTGACGCTCATTTCTGGAGGCAGAGTCTCTCGGTCTGCACTCGGAGTCTTCATCCTCGAAGCGGAGAAAACTCCTACCTGGCAGCTCCTCTTTGCTCGGGTCTGTCCCCGTCTCCTCCCAGACCCTGGTGTTGAGCATGGGCTGGCTCAAACTGGCCTCCAGCAGGATCCCTGAGCTCATCGCCCTCTTCCTCCATCCCAGTTCAGGATCTGGGTTGGATCCTGGACCTGGGTTTGAGGCTACTTGTTCCTTGATGCTCCCTGTGCACAGCTCTGCTCTTCGGGACGGGTCCGCTTGGGAACCCCGCTCCGAAGTCCAGGTCTAAATCCCCAGGGAAGCTGCCCAGCCCTGGGAGCGGGTGAGATGTCCTCCCCCTGGTACGTGGCCCTGTGGGTGCTCGGCTGGCCGCAGAGCCGCGCTGCCCAACCTCTAACAGCCCTCGTCTCTCCCCAGCCTCCACGCTCTCCCAGCTGTCGGACAGCGGGCAGACCCTCAGCGAGGACAGTGGGGTGGACATCGGGGAGGTCGAGATGAGCGGCAAGGACAAGAGCCGGCAGCTGGTCCCTGGGAAAAGCCGAAGCCTCAAGGAGGCCGCGAGGAGCGAGGGGGCGGCAGAAGGGGCCTCCAAGCCGGTGAGGCTGGGTGCCCGGGGACCTCGGGGCGCTGCCATTTGGAGGTGGGCACCTGGGGCTGCCAAGGGGCAGTGCTGCTCCCCGCTGCCTCAGTTCTGCTCCCTCTGCCTGCAGGCAGCAACCCCTCTTTTGTGCTTTGATGGGTTCGTTATCCTCTTGTCTAATGAGCTGAGTCAGCTCACCGGTGGGCTGAGCTGTGGGGAAGGGAGGCAGGAGCGGCTGAGAGGGGCACTGTAGGGCTGATTCGCTCTGTCTTGGGTAAATCCCGACCCTCCCAGCTCCAGCAAGCAGCTACTTGGGACATGGCAGAGTTCCTGGCTCTGAGGGGACATCTGCAGGGCAGTGTCCCATGAGTGAAGTCACGGGTCACCCGGAAGGGAAGGTGGCATCAGGTATCAGAAGTAAATTGGAGGGTTTCTGATGGTGGCAAGGTTGAGGGGCGTAGGCAGGCGGCCGGAGAGCTGCTCTGCTCCTCCCCAAGCCCTTCCAGACCTGCACACGGTTGGGATCTTGGATGTCAGGAGTCAGAGAGCAACTACAGGCAGCGTGTCTGTCCCTTTCCCACGGAAGCCTGCCGTGGGTGAACCTGCCTCCCGTGGGACCCCGGCCAAGGGAGCGTGGCAGGCAGATGGTGCCTGGCCTCCCTCGGCAGCGCTGCCGTCTCTCCCTGCAGCCAGGGCTCCTGGAGCCCACATCGTGTCTGATCCGAGTGTCCAAGAGCGCACCGACCTTGGGGATCGCCATCGAGGGTGGAGCAAACACTCGGCAGCCACTGCCCCGCATCGTCACCATCCAGGTAGGGCAGGCTGAGAATGGGAAGAACTCAATGCACATCCCGTCCCTCTCCTCCCTGGACATCAGGAAAGCCCCTCAGCCACAGCCCAAGTGCAGCGGCAGCCCTGCCCCCGGGGGGGTTTTGGAGGTGTGCTTCCCCCCTCCGATAGCCCTGCATCTCCCCAGACATCAGAGGCATCATTCTGCTGCAGGGGGGTTGCTGAGGATTGCATTCGTGGCCGTGGATGATCCCATACCATAAAGCACGTCCTGGGAGCCAAGAATTTGCTGCAGACATTTTCGGAGGGGGTCTGGGCAGCGCTGAGAGCTTGGCTGGTGTCTCCAGATGTCTGGAAACTCCCTTTTTTCTGCTCGGATAGAGGATTGGGGAGGGGGAATGGTGGATGATAGCTGGGGAACTGAGCCCTTGGGAGCTCTCCCCGCACCGTTTCCTCTGCTGTTTACTTGGGGCAAAATTCAAGTTATTTACAGCAGAAGAAAAGCAGAGCTGGCTGTGCCTTGGTTATTCTTGGCCATCCCAGCTGGCGCTGCGCTCCGGGAGCAAGCAGGAGGGAAGCCAAATTCATCCCCCCTTTCTGAAATGTTTCATTTCCATCATGTTCACCCTGACCCAGCAAGCGCCAGGTCAGGGTGAACATGATGAAAATGCAGTATTTCCCGTTTTCCCAAAACCCCCTGTGTTTCATCCCTGGGTTGAGGCAGGGGGTTGGTGGGAGCATGAGCTGACCACCTCTCTCCCGCAGCGCGGAGGCTCGGCGCACAACTGCGGGAAGCTGAAGGTGGGCCACGTCATTTTGGAAGTGAACGGCACGGGGCTCTGGGGCAAAGAACATCGGGAAGCCGCCCGTATCATCGCTGAAGCCTTTAAGCTGAAGGAAAAGGACTACATTGATTTCTTGGTCACAGAATTCAACGTCGCCCTTTAGGAAACCCGAATGGGTTTGGGGAGAGCGGCTTGGGGCAGGGAGCACCCAAACGAGGATGGAAGGCAGCGCCGAGGTGTGAAAGCAGCATCGCACCGCGCAGTGCCCTCGCCCGCTGCGCCGCCCTGCACATACAGACACCCCCAGCTCGTCCCCAAATGTCCCCCCCCACCCACCACAGACTCTCACTGCCTGGGTAGGGCAGGCTGAGAACGGGCAGAAATCAGTGCACATCCCTTAAAGTCTTCTTCCCTGTCCACCCCTTCCGGAGGGGTGGGGGAGCTGCCCTTTGGGGACACCCTCTCCCCCCTCGGCCAGGCTGGGGAGCGGGGTGGGAGGACGGCGGAGGTCTGGGTGTCCCCGCTGTCATTTGAGTGCCACAAGCAGAGCAAGGTGGGCCCATAGCTCAGGCTGGAGGGTTTTTCGGGCGGTCGCTGCTCCCTCGGGTGCTCGCCCCAGTGCCCAGGCAGGTGGCACGGGCAACGGGTGGGGATGCAGGGAGAGCAACCAGAGGCCTTGTAAATTGCTGGCAACACCGTCGTATTTATATATACAGAGCTTGTGCTTTTAATTTTTCAATAAATCTATCAGGTTAGGAAAAGGCTGGGTTTGTGGGGGTTTCTTCGGGGCTGGGACAGGGGGGATAGGAAGGTAAGGGGCGGGGGTGCCTGCGGGGCACCCCAGCA